GAAACCCTCAAATCTTAAGGATCTGGAGAAGTTCGCCAAAGATTAAAAATCCCCATTGTAGAAACCTTGTGATCAACCACAGGACGCATTTGGAGGCTGTAATCGTGAATAAAGGCTTTGCCATCAATTACGGAGAAAAGGGTATGAATAATTCTGGACATGGTATATTTTGTAAATCTGTCAAATAAAATACCAAAAAGTATTGTATTTCTCGAAAAATTGTTTACTGTACTTCTTACAGCCTTATGTCAACTTACTGTGTCATTTGTGCAAGAATAAATTTTATTTGTCAAAAAATATCTCGAAAAAACCCAAAAATTGGTAGGGGTATGAATAATTTCGGGCATGACTCGACTGTATATATATTTCAGATTTCAGTGGCGGCTGGTGAACTGGCGATAGGGGAGGCTCAAACCCATCCCTTGAAAATGATTGGTCATGACCTGTTTTCAATCATTCATTTAAATTACCATTACAAAAGCTCAGAGAAAACTCAACATTATCAGGTGTGGCCAGTGTTCATTAATAACGCAAACCTGTCAACTCTCACGCATTCGGTGTGAGTTTAAGTGGTATCTATACGTTCCCCTGCTGTAGTCAGCAATTATTCAATGAACGCATGTGTAAGAGATTCTCTCGCGGAATTGAATTCCTTGGGCATGGAGGTTTGTCAGTTTCACCTGCGTTATGACTCTGGACTTCTCACGCTTTTCTTTACTCAGGGCTTGGAAGCAATGCATGTGTTTCGTGATCGTTTTAACTGTTAAAATGAAATAAGATCATTGGAAGCAATGAAATTGAATAAAGACGTTTCAAATGATCTAATTTCATTTGAACTATTTAAACGATAATGAAACACACGCATTGCTTCCAACCCCTGAGTAAAGAAAAGCGTGAGAAGTTGGGAGTCATAACGCAGGTGAAACTGATAAACCTCCATGCACAAGGACTTCAATTCCTTGCAAGAATGATGTATATTTGGCATTTTCCAGGATGGATTTTGCGATATCTACGAGTTTGGAATCTTTTTTGAGAGTGTAATCAACGAGCTGAGTAAACAGTCCCTCCTCATCCATATCCCTGTGATTGTACCCACGCAGAGCAAGTTCACTAACTGAGAAACTGAGTGACTTCACCCATACTTTTAATGTGGCATCTGTTCTTTTCTACTTGGGTATGACCCAGCAGATGGACAATATTTTCACCTGTCTCTGACCGGCGCCGGTACTCCTGCCACGCAACCATGGCCCTGGAGTGTGAGATGCTTGTTGCGTGTTTGTACAGTCTTTATCGAGTGCTTTTTTCCCATTTGTGTAGCCACGTTTAGTAAATATGTCCTCACGATCCAAATTAGAACTAAATTTGCAACAAGCGTAGCAAAAGCTGGCATTGCGCAGTACTGAATATTCAAGTCATGCCATGGTCGAGTTTGATACGTGTTTGATACGCTTAGGATAACTGTTTAAAATGGGCGATCCATATTTACGTCCGGAGGAGTGGACACAGAGCCGGGCGTCTGAACATGGGGAGAATAGACGTTATGAGCCCCCAGCATGGGTGCAGTGCTGCTGGAGCACGGTGCATCTGCCGGTGATTCACAGGCAGTCCCGGACCCCGGCACGGATGCAACGCCCTGTTCGGTGGTTGCAGGGCTGCTGGTAGAGACAGCACTTGTGGGAGTGGGAGATGCTTGTTTTTTAATGAGCCACGTATGCATTTCAATTGGCAAATGTTCGAAGTGCTTATGATACAGATGTTCGAAATGTTGAAATGTGCTTATGATACAGAATTATTGTTGTAACCACCCCAGTGAGTGACTAGCAACTCCAGACTAGCTGCTAGCTAGCTGCCTGGGCTCACTCGGTAGCCAACTCAGGTTATAACCACACGAGTCGACACACACACACAGATGACAAACTAGTACACAAATTACCTTAATGTCAAACAGCAAGACTGACAAAATAAGCGGTGGAAGAAGTAGCAACAAAAGAGATATGGGCGAAGTTTTAATTCCCTGAGAGAAGCACAGGTCCTGTATGACCAGCGTAATCGTGACCTCAGACTGAGTGAAGACGGCAGTCTAAGAGAATGGGAGGGTCCCTAGTAATTCGAGAGTGCCCATTGATTAGTTTCACATCAGAATAGACTGGCGAAGGAATCCACCAATCACACATAGTGATAGATAGATGAAGCATACGTAAAGCTCTCTCTTAATGGCTGTCTACCTCCGGCTGTGAATCACGTGAGATATCGTGTGTGTGCTGTCAAATAGTAGTAAATCAGTTTTTTATCTTGAGTTTTCATTGGGTGGGCAGAGCTTTTCTCAGGGTGGGCACTGCCCACCTCCTGCCCCCCCTTGGTAACGCCCCTGCTACACAGGAGGCGTTTCAGGCAGTTCTGAAGCTTAGCTTTCTGTTGGTGGAAGTAACCGCATTTGGTATGGACTCTGGGCTTTGTAACTGCACGTTTTATGTGCACCAAAATGCTACATACAGTACATAAAAGAAAGGGGAAAACCCAAAAAGCATAATATGGCAACTTTAAATTCGGTCTTCTCTCATCTGATTACAATGCAGCGAAATATGTGATCCAGAATCATTGGTAGCATGCGTTTTTTGTTGCATATTGTTTTTTTGTGATTATCGCTGTTTCTCTTATTATTTTAGTTCCGATGAGCACACCCCTGTTGAGGAGGATGTGAAAAACAACAGTTCTGATTCAAGTTCAGAAGGTAAATTGTGCTTTTATTGCTTAAATTTGCGTATGCACTGCTAGCACAATTATCTTGTAGGTGAGTGCTCTGACCTTATAATTATTTCTATGCACATTTTCCAACTCCAAACATTATATTATTGAATGCCTATTAGATTTAATCATTTTCAGGCAATAACGTATTTGTGGAATGAGGAAGGGTGTGGCGTAAAGTGATTAACACCTTATATTAAGGTCTGCCTCGTTATTAGGCAGTTTCATTACCTCCGGTAAAATGGGTCAAGAAAGATTTAACTGACGCTGAAAACTCAAAAATTGTAAAAAAAAAAAGCCTTTCAGACAGATGCAGCACTTTTTAAATGGCATGACTGCTAGACAATCAAATGTTTTGGAGTGAATAGTCAACGTGCGTCACAAAAAACGCACGGAGAGGAAAGGGCACAAGTTAACAGAATGAGACATGAGAAAATTAAACATGAAGCTACCAGAAACCCATTATGCTCCCGTGCCACCATTTTCCAGAGCTGCAGCCTTCCTGGAGTGTCTAGAAGCACAAGGTGCCAAGTGCTCAGAGACATGGCCAAGGTAAAAAAAGGCTAACACAAGCACCACTGAATAAGATTCACAAGTTGAAGTGTCAAGATTGGACCAAGAAATACCTGTAGACAGATTTATCAAAGGTTTTATGAGCTGATGAAATGGGAGTGACTCGTGTTGGACCAGGTGGCTGGGCTCCATGGTCAGATCATTAATGCACACAAGGCACCAGTTTGAGTCTGATGCCAGCATGTTGGAGAAGGGGCTCTGATGTTGGCTGCTGTTGTTAAAGATGAGCAAGCTGGACCTTTTCGGGTGGAAGAAGGACCGAAAACAAACTCCCAACCCTACTGCTAGTTTCTGGAAGATACTTTCTTTAAGCAGTGGTGCAGAAAGAAGTGTGAAGCATTCAAGAAGGCGATGATCTTTATGCAGAGCAATGCTCTGTCACATTCATCCAAGTACTTCACTGCTTGAATAGCCTTTGAAAGCCTCAAAGATAACCAAAGAGGAGACGTGCCTGTCCCAGACACGACTAAGAAATTCCCCCCCCTGCATTCAGCGTGGCATTTGACTGAAGTAGCTATTACCTTATACTGTGCACTCAAATTATGGCTCCAATACAGAATTTTCTTGGTCAAAAAATGACTAAATCTCTTTGAAAATGAGTCAAATCGCTTTCAAACTCACAAGTGCACAGGTTCTCATTGTGATAATAACATGTCAAGTTTTAAAATGGTCCACTGTCACGATAAAAGCTCTGGACAAAACCTATCATCAATACTCAGTTTTCTAAGTCGGAAAAATTGTAGAATCTCCATGACAATGCGTCGAATCACTTTCAAAGTCACAGGTGCACAGGTTCTCTTAGTGGTAGTAATGCATGCCGAGGTTGGAAGAAAATCCATTATGTGGTGTAGGAAAAGAAGCTCTGGTTGAAATTACCTCTGCGGACGGATGGACAGACAAGCTGATTCTCGTATTCATAATGACCAGTCTGGCCCCCTTCCTTGCCTGACTTAAATCCTTTCGAGAACTTGCGGGCCCTCATTATTTGGGAGGCTGAGGTTGCTTCTTTAGTGAAAGTAGACCGTGAACAGACAGAAACTGACAGACTCCATTGATGGAAGGCTTATTGTAGTTTGAGGTACCAGTTTGGATCAAATTTGTGCATTGTACTTAAACAATAAAATGAATCCTTATGTATACAATTTGCCTAATAATTGTACCCGCAGTTTACTGGTGCTAGAGAACTAGAATGTTTAAATCGTGGGTTGGTCTCCTGCATCATTACCCAAGAGCACATGCTGAGTTCTCAGTTTTGGGCTACCTTGCCATGCAGATAAAATTTAAATATTCTCCTAGTCCACATGGTTAACATTGAAACTAAGCCTAAACATTATTCACAATTAACAGAGGAAAAGAAGAAGAAAAAGAAGAAAAAGTCTAAGAAGAAGAAGCACAGGAAGCATTCGGAGGACAGTGAGTCTGATAGTGAATCTGACGGTAAGGCTGCTATGAAAAATTATGGAGTCATCTTCAGGGATAAATTGCCAATTTATACAAACACTGCTCAAAACCAGATCAGAAAATCTGAACCGGAGTGAGGATCGAACTCAGGACTTAGGGATTCCGTCCCACTGTGTCTTCAGAAAATTAATTGATCCAAATTGTTCCAAATGTTCATTGTGACAATATGTCATGTGCATTGTGATCTTTGAGAGATCAAGCTTGCAAACTGCTCCCAACTGGACTCGGTAGCTCAGTTGGTAGAGCGGTGGGACGGAATCCTGAAGTCGTGAGTTTAATCCTTACTCCGGTTCTGATTTTCTGATCCGTGAGCAGTGTTGGTATAAATTGGTAATTTACCTTGACAACCCATACAGAGTTTACTGTATCTAGCTGATTGCTGCCATTTTGATTTTGCTCTGCAGAAGAAAAGAAGAAGAAAAGGAAGAAAAAAGGAAAAAATAAGAAGTAACTCTACTTTTCATTTGTAACCATTTCTAGAAATGGCTGCTGCCTTTATGCCATTGAATCTCACATTTTTTTCTCCTCTCTCAGGAAGAAATCAAAGAAGAAGAAAAGCAAAAAGAGCCGGAAACAGTCGAGCGATTCGAGCAGTGATCAGTCTGAAGATGTGGAGGACCAGAATGGGGAACTGTGGGTGGAGAGAACTTACAACGACGAACACATTGTTGGTCCTGAGGCTCCCCTGACCCATCTATCCCAAGATGATAAACCTTTAAAGTACGCATCTTCAACCTGGCCTGTTAAATTCAAATGTGATTCAAGAATAATATGTAGGCGTGGTCGTTACGCTGGTTTGAACATGTTTTCAGTAGAAATCATTTAATATTTTCCCCATGCTTGCTGTTGCAGCTACGGTCATGCACTGTTGCCAGGGGAAGGTGCTGCCATGGCAGAATACGTGAAAGCTGGAAAGCGTATCCCCAGAAGAGGGGAAATAGGCTTGACCAGCGATGAGATTGCTTCATTTGAGCAGTCTGGATATGTTATGAGTGGGAGCAGGTAATTCTTCATTCATTCACTCACACATGCATGTGTACACAGTAAATCCGCGATCTCTCTCTCTCCTGGCCTCAAATATACCCTTACAAACCCACCTCTCTCAGTTTCTCTAACACACTTGCGCACTAAATCATGCAGGCAGTATTGTGAAAAAGTGTTTGCCCCTTTCCTGATTTCTTCTGTTTTTGCATATTTGTCACATGCACATTTCAGATCTTGAAACTGATTTTAATATTAGACAAAGATAACCCAGAAAAACGCGACATGCTGTTTTTTAGTGATGATTTAGTTTACTGTAGAAAAAAGCTATCCAAACTTATCAGACCCTAGGTGAAAAAGTAGTTGGCCCCTTAGTTACAAAATTGAACACTTCAAAGTGAACTGATAATCGGGATCAATTTCAATAGACACGCCTGGGTATGATTACTGCCAGCACTGTTGAATCTAAATATCACTTGAATGAAACCTGGCAGTGTGAAGTAAGCAGAAAGCAGCACATGATACAGTGATCTACAGAAATTCAAGAATGGATGAGAAAAACGTTAACATTAATCAGTCTGGAAAGGGTTACAAGCCATTTATAAGGCTCTGGGACTCCAGCAACTCGAGAGCCATTATCTACAAATGGAGCAAAATTGGCACAGTGGTGAACCTTGCCAGCAGCAGCCACCCTACCAGATGTCCTCCCAGAAAGCATCAATGACTCATCCAGGAGGTCACAAAAGAACCCTGAGTAACATCTAATGTACTGCAGGCCTCACTTGCTTAATTAAGGTCAGTGTCCACAATTCCACAATAAGAAACTGACTGGGCAAAAATGGTGTCCATGGGAGAGCTGCAAGGTGAAAACCACTGCTGACCAAAAAGACCACAAAGGCTCATCTCATATTTGCCAAAAAAACGTCTTGACGACCCCCAAAACTTTTCTGATAATATTCTGTGGACTGATGGGTCAAAAATGGAATTTTTTGGTAGACAAGGGTCCCATTACTTTTGCCCTTAAGCTTACACAGCATTCCACAATAAGAACATCACACAAACACTCAAACGTGCTGGTATTGTGATGGTCTGGAGCTGCTTTGCTGCCTCAGGACCTAGGTGACTTGCTGTAATTGTTGGAAACAAGAATTCTACTCTGTACCAGAAAATCCTGAGGCAGAGTGTCTAGCCGTCAGCTTGTGACCTACAGCTCAAGCACTGTTAGATAATGCAGCAGGACCGTGATCTGAAGCACAAAAGCAAGTTCACCTCTGAATGACTCAAAAGAAACAAAATGAAGGTTTCGGAGAAGCCAAGTCAAAGTCCTGACTTCAATCTTATTAAGATGCTGTGGCATGACCTTAAAAGCAGTTCATGCTCAAAAACCCTCGTGTGGCTGAATTAAAACAATTCTACAAAGAAAAGTGAGTCAAAATGTGTTCACGGCGATGTATAAGACTCATTACTAGTTATCACCAGCATGTGATTGCAGTTGTGCTGTCAAGGAAGGCACAACCAGTTACTAGGTTTAGGATGGAAGTTATTTTTTTCACATGGGTGATACAGGTTTTGAATCACTCTTTTCCTTCAGTAAGAGATCATTTACAAACTGCATTTTTGTTTACTCATGTTGTCTTTGTCTTATATTAAATTAAGCAGGGTGATCTAAAACATTTAAATGTGACAAATAAGCAAAAATATAGAAAGTCGGAAGTACATCTCTGCACTTAAATACTACTTGATCTTGTTTTCACTCTAGGCATCGCCGAATGGAGGCTGTGCGTCTGAGAAAGGAAAACCAGATTTACAGTGCGGATGAAAAGCGAGCCCTGGCATCCTTCAATCAGGAAGAGCGCAGGAAGAGGGAGAACAAGATCCTGTCAAGCTTCAGGGAAATGGTGTACAGGAAAACAAAGGGCAAAGAGGAAAAATGAAGTGTTTCACGTTTATTTTCCCATCAGATTCAAATGCTTTATTATACTAATAAGGAACTAAATTGATGTTGCCATTGATTTCACACAGTGTCTCATTATATTTGGTGAAATCCTTGGTAATGTACCCCTTATTGTGATCATTTTGGTAGTAAAGCTTGCAAAAACAAATGGTTTTAACTTACTGTTGGTGGGACTTCTGTCATCAGCTTTAGGTGAAATGCTTAGATTTCTCAACTTTGGGGAGTGTTTCCTTAAAGTATGAATGTATATTTTGTGTTGTACATACTGTGAACGGATTCTCAAACTTCATAATACCAAAATGGTTTTGAACATTAATCTGTTTCTTCATGATTGAAAATCATTTTGAGCTCTTGCAATGTGTTTTATCTCACAAGAGCATGGTGGACTTGCCTGTAAAAATCCACGCGTCTCTTTATTACTTAAAATTTCTGCAACTTTACGTTTGTACACTCATCTTGTAAAGGTAGTTTTTTTATGTTACAGAAAATTGATAATGTACTTTAGAAATTGATGGTTGTTCTCAGTAGTGTCTTGCAGTCAATAACGTCTTGCAGCCATTTCTGTCTAAAAGTAGTTTTTCCTGGCCTGTGAAAAAGGGGGGTGGGGGCAGGGGAATAAGTATTATTCATAAGAAGTTCTGTATTAAACAGAGAAAATACAATACATTTTTAAAATTTACCTGTGTCTCAGTCTGCATGATTCCACAACAAAGTACACTTCTACCGGCAAGCTCTGAATGAAAAAAAAGGGGGGGGGGTGTTGTGAATGAAATGTGAATAATGAAGTTATTTCACTTGAGTTGCTTTTGATATGGGAATTTCTTTTCCCAATTGTACATTTTGAGTGAGATTTATCAAGTTCATTTTTTTTTAATGTATTTAAATGCGGATATTACAGATTAGAAAAGTTGCTATATTCCCATTGGTTAAGGGTGAGAATACCAATGACATTGCAAAATGGTTTGCACTGTCCTGCTCTGCAGTTAGAAATCGGACAACCATCTTGTGATTCTTTAAACAGTTGCTTTATCTTCAATATCTGCATAATGCTTAGTACATAATGGTAAGATTTATTGAAGGACCTTTCAGGTGCAAAATTAAACTGGTTTTGACTTTTATCTGCAAAGCTAAGCATCATGTTCAAACAGATTCTATTACCTGTGGCTTGATCTTGGAGATTTCTATGATAAAATAGACTTTTGCAGTGGCCTTAGGGATTGGAGTCTGTCTAGTTGGGATGCTCCATAGCACTCTGTAGTGATATTGCCTGTGAAATTCCAGCTCCTTCTCTTCTAAGAACACTAAACTATGCAGCCATGTCGGATCCAATTCCCACATCTGATGAAAGAAACTGGTTAAAAGATGCAGAATCTACTACATGTAAATTAAAAGGCAATAATGGTTCTGGCTAAGTGAGTTTAAATGCCTCCTATCAGCAATCTGCTTTTTCTTCGTTTTCCCAGGTTCTTATTACTTGCTCAAGGCATTTTATTTTTTTACTGATGTACATTTTCCCGTGAGCAAACCAAACTCAAACAAGTTTCAATGGTAAGAATGTTTTGGACTTACACTGATATATTTTTCAATTTGCTCCTTTCCGAGGTCGATGGTGAATTCCTTGCAGGAGATCCAATCGATATTCTTCCTTTCATAATCATTTGGACATATTTCTTTGGATGAATTTTTGTCTTAGGAGAGGAAACAGGACATTTGACTGAGTGGGTTGCACGGGCTGCTGAGTGTATTGGATGGACTTTTCTACCCACGATACATCGTGCAGACTCACGACTTCTGTGTTACAGACAACACAGGCGTCCCATTTTTCCAAAGTGGATAACATTGTCTTCACTATAAACACTTGTCGAAATTATTTCTCCTACCTTTTTCTTCTTGCTCTCGTTGAAGCAAAGTGTCCTGCACATTATCAAGTGCAGTTTTGACTATTTCAGAGGCTTTAATATTAGCATATTCGGAACAGAAATCCATCTCCCTTGCAGCCGTGTAATTTGCAAGATGTTGCTTTATTATCAACGAAGCTGTGCCAAAAATATAATTTAAGAGGAAACCAATATGGGTGATGTTTGCATCATGGCAAAACACAAAGAATCCTAAAACGCTAGTGCAACTTTTCCGGAATCCATTTGGGCTGTGTTGATCAATTTGCCCGTCTGTGGTTCCCATGGCAACGGAAACAATTGAGCCCTTGAGTCAATCCGCTTGCCACGGCCGACGTAACCCGTCACGTGAAAATATGTCCGCGGTTAATACAGGGCGCTCGGCTCTCATTAAAATCGCCTTTCTGAAATATTTGTTTAACAAGTGTGCCTTAATGAAAGCAAATGTTGGATGGAACCGGTC